GATATATTATATAATTTTTCTGCATTTCCTACACATATTAAAAAAAAAGACGCCATTTGGAACAAAACCTGATCTTATCAGCTTTGTGCTAAAGTGTTTTGAAATAGTGAAATATTATTATAAAGTTAAAGCAGTACAGACAAGATTTTAATTTGCACTATTATTTTTTTCATGCCTTTAATATATTTAGAAACAAAAAGATCTGAAGCCATTTTTAAAAATAGTTGTATCCAATCTACTTTTTGCAACCTTACCATTCTTATACAAAATGAGTCATATTTTTTTCAAACAAGCATAAATGTAGTACTTTTTTTTTACTATTACTAGACTATGTCTATATGTAACTTTACACATATGTTAAAGAAAAGTACAACTCAATTTACCAAATCAGCATTTGTCATGCTAGTAACTATATTTCATTAACCATTGTCTAAGTATAATGTACAAAAATATCTATTCCAAAAAAGTTCCAGTTCTAACAAAAAAAGAAAAAAAATCTTGGAGAACCAAACACTTCACCTTCTAGTTTTCATATCAGTGATACAGTATAATTCAAATACATACTTACATTCACTTTTGGATAAAATTCATACAATCTACATCCTGTAAACATTGCTATGTCAATCACAAGCAAAAAAAAAATTCAATCATAGGACTAACAAAATAAAGAACTAAAACTTTACCTCATACAAGTATTGCTTTAACAAAATAATTAATCTATGATATTCCTGGTTGAAATACCACAAAACAATCACCAAAATTTTCATAAGAAACTTTTTTTTTTTTTTTTACTTTTTCTATTATTCTGACTCCAGAAAAAAACATCTTTTGTTTACTCACCAAGACTGGCTCTTGGATTGGACGATATGGACTCGAGGAAGCGGCTGTCCCTATGGCACATGCGCAGTGGGACAAATAACGCCTTCCCAGCCGCACACGTGAAATACCGCTTTCCGCTGAATGTTCCATCGGACAAGCCATCCTCGGCATCTTCCTACATCAAGAAAACAACAAATAATTTAAATCTTGCAAAATCTTTTGTTTAATTTTAACCCTTTAACCCTTAAGACTATTAATATAGACCAACAAGAACCCACATTCCACTATCAGAAAATAAAATATAAATCTATATTACTAATAACTTCACTTACAGATTATTGACATATAATAACATAATACATAATGGTACTTGCATGTTCATATTCATCTTACTTACCATTTCCACTCCAGCAACTTTCCGTCCCTCTTTTTTGTCTCCTGGCACAGTGCCAATCCAACGTATGACACCAAACCTGCAGAAGGTATCACAACTTATATTTCATAAAACAATGGATCCATACATATATTCACTAAACATTTATATATATTAATGTACACCTAAAGTGACCAATAACAATCATGATAAATTTTTTTACAGTCTTATCTTATTACAATCAAAATATCACTCCAAAGAAATCCCTAAAATGACAGCTTTATCCCCAAAATCAGCCACTCCGAACACAAAAGCAAAACAGTCGAATCTCACCTTGGGACCTCCTTAATGACGACCTCCACCAGTGACCCAATGTCAAGATCCTCTTCTGTCCCTTCTACGCTACCCTCTGGAGTCTCGTACACACTTCCATCGCCGTCTGACACAACTTCCAATTGGTCGATTCCTGATGCAAAGGAAAAACAAAATTATCTTTGCCTTTATAAGCAAATATTTTATTATTTTTATTTTTCATTTACTGAAGCCTTTCATAAACTAATTATACTAATTATACTATTTTCATACATTCACATTTACATGAGTATTTCCATATTCTAAGTACTGATAGACATTATCTGTTCACCTGGACATCCATCTATCCCTTTTAAAATCCTATTTGTATTGTTGGGTGTCCTCATATCAAAACTCAATTAATTTCAATAATTCCATTGAAAGTATTTATAGGCACAAGCAAAGAGGGAGAAACCTGATTCTTTATATAAATTTCATAGAGTCACAGGTGATCATCAAAAATTAATATTAACTTAATGCTGACGAGCATGGCATGTACACTGTGAGTTTAATTGTCTAACCCAATGCCAAAGGGGAAAATTAATAAAAAATGGGAAAAATGCTATGCTTATTTTTTATATCTTTTTATGAAATGTCTCTACACATAGATGGCTCTGCCTTACCTGATTTCACTTTTCCTTGAATTGGCAAGAAAATATATTTTTTACTAGTGCTATGAATGTTGTGATTTTTATTATAAATATTATAATTACTATAATATATAAACATTAGTAACAGCTAAAGATAAGATAACGTAAAATATTTTCGGAAATTAAAGAAAAGGGTGAACGGGCGAGACAGGCAATACTCGTGATTAGCTCATTGGTGGCTTAGTACAAGTGTAGCCATCTATGTGTAAAAATAATCAAATAAGTAAACTCACAGTGGGCATGGCTTGGCATGCCCGTCAGCAATGGGTTAATTGTTTTTAAACATAGATGGCTATACTTGTACTGTCACCAATGAGCCAATTACAAGTATTACCTGTCGTGCCCATTTACCTTTTTCCTTGATTTATGAAAAATAGTTTACGGTTTCTTATTTGCAGTTACTAATGTTTATAACATTATAATAACTATAATGTCTATAATAAAAATAACGCCATTGATATAAGTAAGTATAAGTAAAAAATAAGTAAGTATTAAGTATCATAAGTATTAGTAAAAAATACGTTTTTCCCACCAATTTAAGGAAAGGTGAAGTTAATTAAGGTCACAAGATCTACTAATTGACTCCAGAGCCATATATGTACAGAGAAAAAATTTCAAAAATAACAATAACAACAACAATAATAACAATAACAATAATAATAATAATAATAATAATAATAATAATAATAACAATAACAACAGGAAAAAGAACAAGTAACAAGAAAAAGGACAAGAAAGAGCACAAGAATCATCATCATTATTTATCACCATTATCATTAACATCCTCTTTATAACCATAACGTCTTCTATCCATAAAAACAATAACAATGAAAAAAATCCCCCTGAGAAGAAGGAAAAAAAAAAAAAAACGAATCTCACCATGAAGTTTAAAAATAATATCAATGAAAAAAAAACCCCCCCCCCCCCGCAAAGAAGAAGAAAAATAAATAAATAAATAAAAATCTCACCACGAAGTTCAAAATAATAACAACAATTAAATAAAATCCCCCGAGAAGAAGAAGAAGAAGAAGAAGAAGAAGAAAAAAAAAAACTCACTCACCGTGAAGCGACAAATGGTAGAGGGGGTTCACGGGGAAGTCGTTATCGCCGAAGCCCCCGATCGGAGAATTCTGGTCCACATCGGCATTGACATTAGTGGCCCTCGTGCCTGTGCCGGGAGACTTCCACTTGTTGTTCTTCTTGTCGAGGTTTCGGTTCAGGATCTTGCCCTTGTCTCTCTGGCGGGATTTGTGGTCGTGGAGGGTTTCCTGCCGAGGGACAAGAGGAGGGGAATGACAAAGAGGAGGAGGAGGAGAGGAATGACAAAGAGAAGGAGAAGAATAACAAAGAAAAGAAGGAGAGGAATAACAAAGAAAAGGAGAAGAAAAACAAAGAGAAGGAGAAGGAAAGGAATAACCAAGAGATGCGGTCAATTCTGATCTGTGCATTGGATGAGCATGAGTGTCTAGCAAATGGCATATTCCACTATACACACTTTTTTTTTTTTTTTTTTTTTTTTTTTTTTTTTTTTTTTTTTTTTTTTTTTTTAATGAATATCAAAATATCATCTTTACTAAACATAAAAAAAAATATCTAAAAGCAATTTACAGCCTCTCCATCCCGACGCCGACCCCGCAACAAATTACGTATATTCAAAAATTCCAACAAACCCAAAGAGTAAACACCAAAGCTACACATCAATCAACGAACCTTATTGCTGGACAACATATTTTTCTGCACGGAATAGGTCATGTGCGGCAGGATCTCCCAGTCTTCCTTCTCGGAGTAAGGCGGCGGAGGGTCGGAGTTGCGCTGGCCGGAGGCAGAGAGTTGCTCGTAGGCCAGGAGGTGGAAGGGCGTCATACTGGAGATGTCACTTCCCAACTGGTTATCTCCCTGTCAAATGATGTTCATGGTATACTACAAAATGTACAGAGAGGAAGAGAGAGAAAGAGAGGAAGAGGAAAAGAGAGGAAGAGCGAAAGAGGAAAAGAGTGGAAGAGAGAAAGAGAAAAAGAGAGGAAGAGAGAAAGAAGAAAAGAGAGGAAAAGAGAAAGAGAGATAAAAGAGGAAGAGAGAAAGAGATATAAAAGAGGAAGAGAGAAAGAGATATAAAAGAGGAAGAGAGAAAGAGATATAAAAGAGGAAGAGAGAAAGAGATATAAAAGAGGAATAGAGAAAGAGATATAAAAGAGGAAGAGAGAAAAAGAGATAAAATTCAGAGAGAGAGAGAGAGAGAGAGAGAGAGAGAGAGAGAGAGAGAGAGAGAGAGAGAGAGAGAGAGAGAGAGAGAGAGAGAGAGAGAGAGAAAAGAAAGAGATAAAATTCAGAGAGAGAGAGAGAGAGAGAGAGAGAGAGAGAGAGAGAGAGAGAGAGAGAGAGAGAGAGAGAGAGAGAGAGAGAGAGAGAGAGAGAGAGAGAGAGAGAGAGAGAGTGAGAGAGTGAGTGAGTGAGAGAGTGAGAGAGTGAGAGAGTGAGAGAGAGAGTGAGTGAGTGAGTGAGTGAGTGAGTGAGTGAGTGAGAGAGAGAGAGAGAGAGAGAGAGAGAGAGAGAGAGAGAGAGAGAGAGAGAGAGAGAGAGAGAGAGAGAGAGAGAGGGAGGGAGGGAGGGAGGGAGAGAGGGAGAGAGAGAGAGAGAGAGAGAGAGAGAGAGAGAGAGAGAGAGAGAGAGAGAGAGAGAGAGAGAGAGAGAGAGAGAGAGAGAGAGAGGGAGGGAGGGAGGGAGGGAGAGAGAGAGAGAGAGAGAGAGAGAGAGAGAGAGAGAGAGAGAGAGAGAGAGAGAGAGAGAGAGAGACAGAGACAGAGAGAAACAGTCTACATCTCCATTTTACAATGTCTGTCAAAATCTAGTCATATGTACAAACCACACCAGAACATGCTCTAAGATTCTTAGTTGGAAGAGGGAATGCAAACTGTATATGATAGCTTTTATGCATGTCTAGACAACATAAAGATATCACACACTACCTTTGAGGTGAGGTGGGCAGGTCTTTTCCCACTAGAGTTACGTCCACTGTGGTGTTCCACGTTAAGGGCTTCAGAACCTAGAAAATCTTCAGCCTTCATTAGACTTGTGACAGGCAATAAGGATGCATGGTTCATTTTGGCATCAAAGAGCTGACGGCCATTGACTCTGTGGTTGTCGTTACCTACTGGATGGTCCTGGAAAAGGATTGTGTTCTGTCTACTTCCACCAGACGACACATTCCCTCACACAGTACAGTGCCCAGGTCTTTCACCCCACTGGTACATGCTACAGTTACTTCAGTATATAGGAATCACATTATCCAACAACTTGGCTAAATAATCTGGTATAAGATACTTAGCCACCAAAACAGAAGCATAGACTCACAAACTCCACTCCAACCATCCAACCCGGGCTGCCATCTAAGCCTGGTTGTTTCCCTGTCCAGCGCACCCAACCCAGCTCAGGATACTCCTCAGTTAACCACACGACACGGTCTCCAACACTAACTCCACACTCCTCACTTAAACCTGTGATAGTTATCATGCACTATGTAAGAAATACATGATCCAGCTCCAGTGATCAAGCAATTTTCTTTCTATCTAATTGCAAATAATTAGTTTTAAAAAATTATTTCATTTCAATTCACACTGCCTTGTATTGGTTGGGTTAAAGATGCTAAGATATTCAACTCCTCAATATATTCTTTACTTTGCAAATATACACCTAAAACCCATTCAATACCCCAAAAATATAGTCCAGTAAACAATATTATTGTAATTTCATTTTTTTTTTCCTTTCTGTATAATGAGCAGTCTTCAATTCAAGTATCACTGAAGCACAAATCATGATCATTATGAACTGCTCTAAATCATTTTCATAAAGTGAAATTTACAATGATAGCAACATCACATTAAAGACCACAAAGACCATGTGATATACAGTCACAACATGGAAACATCACCCAAAAATTAAGCATCTGCCCCAGACATACAGACTAACTGGTATATCAAAGCAAAAAACTTCATAGATAAGAGGGTCTGCCAAGAAAGGCAAAAGGAAGGGGAAAAAAAAGACATCTTTAAATCTGAGAAGAAGGAGGAGAAGAAGAAGATGAAGAAGAGAACGGAAATGACACACACACACACCAACCTTTGCCTCCGCTGGGATGTGCTTTGCGACGCCCACTTTCCATTGTTTCTTGCTGTCCTACATAAGTCTGAAAGTGAGGTAAGACACATTCGGTATAATAAAAAAAAGGGGGATACAGAGGGAGGAATAGGGTGAAACACTGCAGGATACTTGATCTTTTTTTATTTTTTGGTGTTGAAACCCAGCCGATGAGAGGATGGTCAGATGTTAATATCTCTCGCATGCAACAATCAAATCTCTTTCTTCCTCAAGTGTTGTCACTATAAACCCAAAGCTTTCAGGAAAATATTGTGTTTACTGTAGTATTGTTTTGTGAAATGTCTCTGCAAATAGCTGGCTCTCCATGTGCTTGGCAACTAAGGAGTCAATTAGTAGACATTTTGACCTCACCTGATTTCATCTTTCCTTGAGTTTACAGGAAAAATGTTTTTTTTATTATTATCAATATCGATGCTGTTATTATTATTATAGACATTATAATTATTATAGTGTTTCTGACATTACTAACAGAGATATTTGATACCAGAAAATATTTTTAAAAATCAATGCGAGACAGGTAGTACTCATAACTGGCTTATTAGTGACTTAGCACTTGTGGAGCCATCTATGTGTATAAACAATCAATAAATTAAACTCAGTGAGCATGGCATGTACGTATATACCAACTCCAGTGCCTTTGGGTTAAAAACTGTTTATAATTTAAGAAACTGCAGCTTGAAAAAAAAAAAAAAAATTAACATGATACCTTTTTTTTCATTTATGTTTTATGTCACAAATAACTAAGTTTGCATGTCCCTAAGTACTACCTTAAAAGACTGCTCCCACACATCAATGCCTCCCATCTGTTTAACCTCCAAACCCTTAATTGTAAGTAATTGTTTTTAATCGGAGCCCACAGATGTCCACTTTACACCATGTAGTTCTCCTGACCAACTGATGGGGCTGGATACTTTTCTGACTATATCATTGACATTATAAACAAGATAATAAGCTAATAAGTTCCTACAATAATAAAAAAAAAGTTTTGGAGATAATCCCAAAGATTAAGAAATACTGATACTGATGGTATAGATAAGATTACGGGGAGAGGCAATGCAACTGCAATATAATATCCCTTACAATGTGACTTCCTCATCATCATCATCTGCAAACACAAATCACTATGATACCATCAGTCAAGTGAGACAATTT